TGAAGAGGTGCTGCTGACCGATTTCAACATTCCACTGTCTGTTTCCAGGAAATTCAGCAGCATCTGTGTATAACATACAGCTGGGTCAGAGGCCATGAGTCCCATGAGTCTGACTTTTCAAGTTCCTGTTAATGTTCTCAGGGCAGCCTGAGGCTGCAAGAGGGCTTGCAAATAGCAGTTAGTGTGACTGAAGCTTTGCAGCCTGTGTATGGCCACCCCTCTGATTCCTTGGGGGAATGCTTGTAGGACTCCCCATATAAACCAAAGCCAAGTCCTTTGTATAAAATTGTGCATATTTGCATCACAAAGTAGCTCCTTCTGTATATCTGAGATCATCCCTAAATTGCTTACCATACTAAATATAATGCAAATGCTGTATAAACAGTCAACTTGCTGTATTGTTTAGGGAACGAAGAGAAGAAAGTCCGCAGTTTTAGCACAGATGCAGCTTTTCCTCCAGATATTTTCAACCCATAGTTGTTTTCAGGACTCGCAGACATAGAAAACTAACTGTAATTCTATCCCTCCAGCATCCAGAGTACCACACAGGCCTGAAGAGTGCTGTTTTGAGAACTGGTGGCCTGTAGAGAACTCAGAGTGCTTCCTGGTCCATCCCCAGGACTTTGGTCTAGGACTGGAATTGCTGTCAGTTGGTGTCAGTAGGGTTTGTCTAGCCAGTGAGAGTACATGGACTATAGCACTCAAGGCCTTGCCACAGGTCCCTTACCTTATTTTGTCCCATGGCAAGCCCTTGCCACCTGGAATAGTTACCTCACACTTTGTTTTTGGCTCCTGGCTTTACTGTGTCCTCTGGTCTTACCTAGTCTTCCTGAGAAGGCAGAAACCATCTCTAAGCTATTCTTAGGTAGAGCTAAGCTCTACTGAGGCATCAATGTAAACAAAGGCAGGTTGGTGAAAACCAGTGAGGAGTCCCATTTGCTCTTGTTCCCTGGCTGCTAGGACTTTATTTCCAGTTGATCAAGCTGGGGAGTGTAGTTAAGCACATGTTTGATGGTGTCAGCCAACTGTGCCTGCCAGAAAAACAATAGGTTCTTTAAAGGTGCCAAGCGCTGATATTATGCATCTTCTGTTGTAAACTGTATACACTTCACACTCCTGAGCCTCCCGTGTGCTGCCTCATATCTTCAATCAAATTATTACACTCCAGAAATATGCATAAGGGAAATGATTGTACACATTTTATGGTGGGTTGCTGCTTGTAGCAGTAATTGAAGTACCTTTTCCACTTATGAAAGTACTAATTTTATTTGTTTTTATTGCTTTTCTAGATGCAATTATTTATTTAGTGTGCTTTGGCTTTATTAAATTATGTTTACTATAGGAACATCATAAAAATGTATGAAAACAACAGATCAGCCAAGCCAGCCTGGTGACCTGTATTGAGAAAGCTGGTGTTATTTTTCATATCCAAACATAATGAAATAACTTAAGAATAAACAGATAATCTACGCTAGAAAACAATACAGTTTCAAAGTAATGCAATAAAACAACTGGACAATATGATTTCATAAACCTGGGTTCTAAAATTTACATGAGTTGGGTTTTGAGTACTTATTGGAAGACACGTGGTGTTCCTAAATGGAATCATTACAATGTGAAATGTAATTAAAGCAAAAGGCGAGAACGTACATGGGGTTTTGTTGGCCAGTAAGATGTGGATGACTAAGAAGCAATATAAAGACTTTTGGTGTCAAAAGGCAAACAGAGACTCCATCCCTACAAATGTGCTTAACTTTGAAACCTGAAAAATGGCTAGACCCTTGTGCACATCACTTGAAAAATCACCTGGGCTGGGTATGCTGGCATTAAGTACTTTGTTCACCCTTTGGCCCTTTCAGTATTTTGTCTCAAAAGAACAAAACTCTCTGCTTTGACATTCCATTTGAGAAGCTTACATTTGATTTAACAGTTTCTTTGTCCTGCACTTCCATAAGATAAAAAAGACAGGGACATATAGTTTTTGTTTGTTTGTTTTTAAAGAGTGTATGATTCAAACTAACAGCAAAACAAAAACTGAAAACCTAAACTTTAAGTCTAACATGTGAATTAGAAGCATAGAATTGCTGAAATGAAAATGTCAATATGAGTCTAAATTTGTGATCACTTTTACTTATTTAATTACAAATTTAATCAGTGCAATTTACAAATTGGGTAAATAAATTGCCACTGTGACATCCAAAAGGTACTACGCAAAGAATTTTCAAAAGGTATGAGTCTTCCCAACCACCCAGTTTCCACCCCTTGAAGCCATGGCTATTGGATTCTCCAGCAGCTAATTTCCAAGGGTAACATGTGCATATGTTTGCTTATGTGCATGCATGCATAAATATTTTCATAAATAACACTGCATACAGATCATGTACAGCTCCGTCAGTTTTGAGTGATACGTGTGAGACTGAAGGTCAAACCCCATGCCTTGAACATACTTGGCAAGCAGCATACAAGTGAGCTACAGCCCCAGCCCAACTCCATAGTTGTTAAAGATTACTCCATTGTATATTCATATGCTTCATTCTACAAATGCCCAGGTTTCTCCTGGAAGAATCTCTCTCTCTCTCTCTCTCTCTCTCTCTCTCTCTCTCTCTCTCTCTCTCTCTGTATGTCTTCCCCCCACTAGCTCACAAGCTCTCATCTGCATCCCCACCCTCTACTGCCTTCCTATATTCTCTCTCTCTCTCTCTCTCTCTCTCTCTCTCTCTCTCTCTTTCTCTCTCTCTCTCTCACTCACTCTTTTCCAAAGAATAGAATAATCTCAACAGGAAAAAATGAGAGGATATGATAGTTTGGGCAACTTAAAAATGTTTGGTAACTTAAAGCTGAAACGTCACACTTACAATTTAAAATTGTGACTTCCGGTAATAGTGATTGTGTCAGCTTTCTCGAGCCCCATTCAAGCCAGACCAAATCCAAGCATGAAAAGAAGAGGTGAATGAAGATGAAGTCTCACCCCCAGCCGAGGAGCCATTGGCAATCTGCAGCTGCTGGGAGAGGGACAGTCAGTTAAAGGCCACACATCCAAGAATATATGTGCAGCACACACACACACACACACACACACACACACACACACACACCAAGTTGGGTGGAATAAAAACAAGTACGAAGTTTTCAAAAAACTAAAAACAAACAAAACTACCGATCACTCTGGGTGAGCAAGGTTGTCTGTCTTCATCTGTGTCAGAGCTGTTGCCCATCCCCTCTCCTGGGAGCCATGGGAGGTCTTTGCCACCCGCTGCTTTGTTTTCCAGTTGGTCCATCTTTGCTGAGCTGTAAGCCCCTTAGATATGAGCTGCAAACATCTTGTTCTTTTGTTTTTATTGTTTTTGACTCTATTTAGAGAATATTTTGCCATTTACAGCAGGACAGTGCTCCATTTGTAAAGTTATCTTACTCCTAAGCTGGTTTTCCTAAAAGTTCTCCATATGTTTTTCTAATAGTGTTAGGAGTTTACATATTTTAAACTTATTTGGGGAGATTTAGGGTGTGATTTATTTTATTTTTCTCCCAAATATTCCAATAGCATTCACTGAAAGATAACCTCAGTTAGCTTCTGGAGTCTCTAGTCAGTTCCACTGACATTACGATATGTAAATTAGTTCAGTTGTATAGTTTTAATATTACCAGAATTGGATTGCCAATTGTTCATTTTCTTAACATCTCCTAATCATATTAAGAAATCATGCAGCTGTGAATATGTCTTTCAAAGATTGATTTTTGTCAACAGTGGTCTTTAAATGTTATTGAATGGTTTTCCAGCATCTATAGAGATAATGAGGTTTTTCTTTTGATCTTTTACTAGTATACAACATTTTAAAATACTGAGCCAGATTTGTGTTCCAGGATAGCATCAACCTGAATATGATTACCTATCACTTATGTGTCTCTTCACTCTCCTGAACAAATCTGAATTAAAATGTGTATGAACAGAGTTTGTTCTAACACCATCTAGATTTGCTTCCTTCTTGTTCTCTGATCAGTGTGATGACATGAGATGGTTTGAGCTGCATAGGAGTTTCCTTCAGAAATGCCCTGCCAACAGCTCTCCTAGGGCTGTCAAGAGGCAGCCCTTCCTTGCTGACCCACTGAGGGTATTTAGCAAATTCAAATTGCCTACACTCAGCATTTATCGTTTATATTTTTCTGGGACACTATCATTTTACCCTGTGTTTCAGCTTCCCTCTTTAGTGTGTTAAGCCAAGCAGTCTTCTAACAGTGTAAATTTTCCTTCATTTATATTCTGTTACCTTTCTTGTTTCCTGTTTTATTCATCCTTGCTTTCTTATATTTTTCCTTTTTATAGTCATCAATTTTCCACCAATAGGCACATTACTGGTACTTTCCAAGCACTTGATTTTAGATATTTTGGTTTTGCTGTTCTGTGGTTTTTGTCCTTATTATTTTGTTTCCTTTTGTTTATTTTTTCATTTCCTAACTTGCTAAATTTGATGTTTGACCCTCATCATGTTATTAAATAATAAATCACTTAATGCTCCATGACCACTGTTCTCTCTATAATCTTTAGCATGTAGCAAGAAATACTTTCTCCATTATTTTCCAGATACTCTGAATTTTTAGTTATGTAATTACAGCATTCACAAAATTTTCTAAGTTTGTTATTAATTTCCAGTAGGCTTATTTCTGTCTCCTGTGCATTTTCTTTTGACCAGTGTTAGTACTCTGTTTTGCTTTTCAGAATTAGCTATTATCTGTGAGGTAAAGTTCAATGGCTTTTGTGAAAACTTGATACCAACTTCAACTATGGCAGTGTCTCTTGGCAGAGCATGATGTTCTATGTGGGGCAATGAATTGTATCTTTTTGTGTTACTTGGTTTTGCCCAAGCTTTTATTTATTTTTGCCTACACATTTCCCTTTTGCCCCTATAAATACTGTGAGAACATGTACTTGGTAAATGAATACCTGGCAGATAACTTGACTGTGGTCAGCTTAACCTGTGTTTTGCTTTTGTTTTTCTATACAGCCAAAGATCACTGAGGAAAACTTGACCTATGCCGAGCTAGAGCTGATCAAACCACCCCGTGCTGCCAAAGGTGTCCCCAGCAGCACCGTGTACGCACAGATCCTCTTCGAGGAGAACCAGCTGTAGTGACACCTCTCCTCTGGCTGTCACCTGAGCTCCCACATATTTATGAAAGAAAGGTCCTATTTTTGTATTTTCACTTGTGCCTTCAGTGTGGTGGGGAGCCCCGTCCCATGGCATTCAAAACGGTACACACTCTCCAGGAAAGAGGGGGCACAGCCTTTGGCCATGTCTCCTCAGACAAGAGGTCCCTGACCTGATCCTGAGGTGCAGGGACTCTGTTCCTGAGAGCATCTGCTGAGCCAACCCTTATCACCTTCTTCTCTTCTCCTGAGTCTTAATTTGCTGAAAATCAAGCTAAATCTTAATTTTAGTCTACCACCCTCACTGTGCCTGAGACATCGAGCACCCAGTTTATAACCACAGGAAATGCCTGCAGAGGTCACAAAGAGAGGTGGGCTATATGGACTCACTGGTTCTGAGGCTTGGATGGTATTGCTGGGACACCCAGAGCTCAGCAAGCCCCTGAGGGTAATGGCAAGCAGCTGCTTATGATGGCATCCGTTGTTTTGAATAGATGCTCTGAAGCTGGCCATTGGAAAGTGCTTGTCCCCTTTGGTGAAATGGACCAGGACTGACAGGAAAACATACTGTTCACTCTTTTCCAAAGACTCTAGTGTGGTGCCAGTGGGTACATCACATGAGAGAGTAAACTGTGCCAAACTCAGTCAGCTCCCACTCGGGGGAGAGCAGAGCCTCTCACTGTCCCCTCTGAATAGAAGCAGAAGTACAAGCCATGCAGGAAAGCTATGCCCAGGAAGACTCAACAATTGGCAAGTGTTTTGTCCATCTCAGCTTTGGATGTGAACTGTAATGGTCTTGTGTACATGTCAGGGACCTTGGGACATAAGTCCATGGGGAAGTTTCTCTGAAGACCTAAACAATGTACAGAAATGTTGGACTTTATGGAAGTAGATTCACTCTGCAAAAGTCATCTTGATATCAGGATGCTTTTTGATGTAGGTGTACTCTGGTGGCCATTTGCTATACTCTGTAAACATTGTTTGGCTATGTAATTTACATGTATATATGATAAATTATCTATTTTAAACACAGCTGGGATGTGAGTTGTGCCCTTTTTATCACCATGGGACTTACCTGAGTTTCTTACCCCTAATTACCTCAGACTTTCTGTATATTTAAAAAGAATTTAACACTCCCTAGGATTCTTGAAGGTTAAGTGGGACAATGAACATTGTAAGATTCTGCAAACTATAAGCCAGTAAACACATGATCTCTCCTGACAGCATTTAGCATTTTGAATGCTAAAACCACTGTGCATTTTTTTGTTTTGTTTTTTGAGACAGGGTTTCTCTGTGTAGCTTTGGAGCCTATCCTGGCACTTGTTCTGTAGACCAGGCTGGCCTCAAACTCACAGAGATCCACCTGCCTCTGCCTCCCGAGTACTGGAATTAAAGGCATGAGCCACTAACGCCCAGCCCACTGTGTATTTTTAAAACAAACAAAACAACTAAACTTTTGTTTGCAGAGTGTGGGCTTTGCCCATGATCTAGCAGGCCCTCTACCTTTAAACTGAATTTCTAGGGTTGCAGTAGCTTTTACACACAAGTTTTTAGCTGGAAACTAAGTCTTAAAGCTGTAACATTTTGCCAGGCAGTGAATTTTCTAGGGCATCTCTTTTAGAAGAGGAAAACCATGACTCACACATCACTGATACAATTATTATCATAAGAGGGCATTGCATTTTGTCATGACAGAGTTCTGGCAGGTGAATATATAGTCTTTTGAGGACACAAAGTGATTTCCTAATTTTCACACAAAGCCATATAGACAAATAGGGACACTGAGATGACAATTGGGAGTAGAGAGGGGGGCAAATGAAGAGGTGATGGAAACAGGATAAGAGGCAATATTTTCTGAGACCTGTAAGACGCCAAGCCCACCCTGTTTTGAATACAAGGAAAGTTTAGGGCAACGTACATGGACATGAACACATTCCACTCAGAACAGCACATGCTTTTTAGAAACACAGTGGTGGCCCATGCCTTTTAGTCCCAGCACTCAGGAAGCAGAGGCAGGGGGATCCCTGTGAGTTCGAGGCCAGTCTGATCTACAGAGTGAGTTCCAGGACAGTCTCCAAAGCCACAGAGAAAACTATCTCAAAAAAAAAAAAAAAAAAGAAGAAGAAAAGAAAAGAATCATTCAGAAGCTGTGACTTTAACAGGTTTACTTTAGCCTTTTTCTCTCAAGTTCTGCTCACAGCTGCACAAGTCAGCACCAAGTTGTGGGAAGGGGGGACCAGCTGAACATTTCCTTTAGGAGGAGCAGGAGCCTCACAACATCCATCCCTGCAGTGCTTATCTCTCTGCCATCTCCAAAAGAAAACCATACAAGCCACGCAAGCACTCACAGAGCATTGGTGAGGAGTGATTTGTACCTGGTGCTTGAAGCGACAGATTTTGGCATTCTTGCTTAGAAAATGTGTCTAGTTGCTCATTCTCTACCAAATAGACCACTCACCATGAATTGACATTTCTAAAGCTAAGTGAGGGGAAACAACCAACAACTAGAAAGTGCAAAGACTTCTTGCTATAAGGCATCAATAGGAGCAATGATGTAATCATTGATTGAGTAATTTCTCAAAATGGACAGTTGCTTCCATGTTCAAATCAATTAAAGCAAGCATGGAGCCATGTCTGGAGTAATGGCTTCTCAGGGATGGAGTGCAGATAGGCTCAGATTCAGGGATGAATTTTGACCTTCTTCACTACAGCACTAAATCTCCTCAGTGCTCAGGAAACAAAAGCCACACTGGGCCTGTCACTGCCTGGTAAACATGAAAACGACATGGGACACGTCATAGTTTTTAATGCATAATTATGTGGATTGGCTAAAGGCTGACTTTTAGAGATTATTCTTGATCATTTTTATCACTCTGATATTCATGACCATCAAGAGTGGGGCTTGTGCCTCTGCCCACAAATATGGTCCAAAGATGAGTATGCTCACCTCAGCCAGCCAGTCCTGTGAGAAAGAAACTGTCTTTTCCTTTTGAGGATAACAGACTGAGGCCTCTGGAGGCAGAGAGAGAAATGGGTGAAAATGGCCTGTAAACACATGATCCTGTCCATGTCCCCAAGACTCATCTCTTTCTCCAGATCTTCTTTTAATCACAACCTGCCTCATCATCCTACCATTTAAATCTACATTCTTCCCTGTCTAGACAGATAGCAATGGGAATAATTCTGAAAGGGTGTGTGGTCATGCTTTTTCCAGCACAGGAAAACTGAAAAATCTCCTTACTTAAAGAGCCCACTTATGTCTATCTCACCCAATGGCTCTACAGCCATCCTTTGTTCTTCGGGGTTGACTCTAGGGTCCCGGTGGCTATCCAAAGCTACAGGGCTCATCCTTTCTGTAAAATATAAAATATAACACATGTAGCCTACTCACATCCACTAAATACTTAAGTCATTTCTAGCTAGCCTACAGCTGCTGGTATAATATAAATGATATAAAATGGCATTTAGGGAATAATGATCAGAAAACAAGAGTGTACATATTCAGCACTAATATTAAAAAAAATAGTCTCAATCCATTTAGGTGATTGAGACACCTATGGGTGTGGAAGGTGGTCTGTCTTTGTAACTGTGAACACCCACTGCCTGAGTGACATCCTTCTCAATAAAGAATTTCAGCACTGTTGCACTTCCTAAGGAAGGGACTCTCAGGTTTAGAGTAGGGATGCCATCTGGGGTCCTGCTGAGAGGTTGACCAATGCACTACATCAGGTATGCTTTCATTGTTGACTCTGAATTTTAAGATGGCTTTCCCCATGACAGGATGCCTTTCCAGTCCTCTTGAGTTAGGACACTGGTTAGAGAAGGTGACCAGCTCTGTCACATGGAGCCAGCCCTTTAGTGAGGTGAGGTAACCACATTGTAGAGATGATGACCCCACTCAGAGTCATACCCCAACCCCATGTGTACAGCAGAAGCTGTTCCTTGTCATTGAAAAAAAAAACAGGGATTTACAGCATCGGGGAAAGGTCTGCATTCAACGTGGTCTCATTGAGCTTCTTTTACAATGGAGTATACAGTGAGTTGTGTCTTAGATTAACGCTCTCTATATAGTGCATAGATCATGTGTAGCCTTGGCAAACTGCTGTGGTGGCTTGAATGTAATTTACCCACATAATCTCATAGGGGGTGGCACTATTAGGAAGTGTAGCTTTGTTGGAGTAGATATGGCCTAATTGGAGGAAGTGTGGCAGAGTGTGAGTGAGCTTTGAGGTTTCATAAATACTCAAGTCACACCCTGTGTCTCAGTTCACTTCTTGTAGCTTTTGGATCAAGATGTGGGACTCTCAGCTCCTTCTCCAGCACCACATCTGCTTGCATGCCTCTGTGTCCCACCATCATTATAATGGACTAAAACCCTGATAATGTAAGCCATCCAATTAAATGTTTTCCTTCCTAAGCATTACTGTGGACCTGGTGTCTCTTCACAGCAATAGAAACCCTAACTGGCAACTGACAATCCTGGTTGAGGAAGTCTGGAATGGGACCTAGGATTCTGAGTTTCTCAGTAGTTCCCAGAGAGAATGTTCCACTTCTGACCCCAAGGCCACACTCAGTAGCAAGGATATTGAGTGTTGAAAACAGAATTGTGAATCCTGAGCTCACATGGGGATTGAGGTGTCCTCAGAGCATTAGGCCAAAGCTGGAGCCTGGACAGTGGGCCAAATCCTCAGGGAGATGCCACCCAAGGAGGAAGCAAGGTGGCTGGATCTGAATGGTGAGAAGTGTCTTGTATGACGGGTCCAGAGCATGTGAGGAGGCCAGAGGAGATCAGAGGTGAGTGAGCAAGCAGAGTCGGGTCATGAGCAGGAGATGCTCTGGATTTCTCCTCTTGGAAGGAGTAGAGGTTGTGTCTTGGCACATTCTTAAAGATTCTCATTTTAAAAATGTGCTACCCCAGGGGAAAATTTCCCTAGGTGCACGAGGCTTTGGCATGGAGCTATGTCTGGTTGACCTAGCATTTCTTTCCCAAAGCAATCTGCATCTTTTTACACCGTGATTTGGACAAGACTCTTAATGGATGGACAAGGTGGGGCATGAGGAGTGGTGTGGCTGAGTTCTGTCCCTTCTGTTGTCATTGGTACCTGCTTTCTAGCAAACACAGCTTGATTAGTTCCGCACCAATTCAGTGTCTGTCTGGTTGTTAGATGTTAATGCACTGCACCCTATAGTTTTAAATAGAATTAGAGGTGTTTACAGCTTTGGTTATATGCACCTTGTTCTTCCACATTAAACTTTATTGTAAGTATCTTGCTTGGCAAACAGGGGAAAAGCTCATTAGCCCCTGGTCTCTGTGGGGGCTGTGCTGCTGCTGTAGGGAATGCAGGTGTTTATTGCAGGCATTGATTGCAGGTGTTTATTGAGGCTTGCAGCTGCTTCGGGCAGCTGAATGGGACTCTCCCTGTTGTTGGATGAGAACCTCAGACTACTGGGTCTAGGGTGGGTCTTTGGAACCCACTGACAGCCTGGCGTTCTTGGGTGGATGTCTGTATTATGTCTAAGAGTTTGAAGTTCTGTCTTTTCAGTTTTCTAAAGGGATCTGTGGTCTAGCAGATGTGGGAATTTTAGAGACAGGATCTTCCAGGGTCCCCACGGTCATCACTGCCACGATGAACTAGGAAAGCTAAGAAAAGAAAGGACAGCCAATTGGACCTGGGCTTTTGACTCTCTGTCATGTGGCCTTCCCATGTGTGTTTATTTTATTATTCATTTATTTTAGTTAGTGCACAAAACAGTGGGTTTCATCACGACATTTTCCATTTCCATAACGAATACCACTGTAGTTCTCATACACATTAACCATGACACCCATACTCTGTAAACAAATGCTGGCTCCAGGGAGCCCATCCACTCCTTGTGCCCTGTCTGTCTGGTACACATTTTCCCCCCTGAACTGTACTTGGTTCAGCTAAGGACAGGGACCCAGCATCCTCTTTGAAGACCTAGGTTCTATTTCTCCTTTCCTCCCTCAGCTTGGGCAAGTTGCAAGTTCCCCAGATTACCCCAATGACCCC